ATATGTATATATATATATATATTATAGTGATCATTATCTTTGCACTACGAGCAAGCTCTGTTTATTAACCCCCCCCATGCCAAAATGCTGCAAACAATCAAGAAATAAACTTTCTACAGCTTTAAAAATCCTGTATAATAATAAACATGTTTACCTGTTTCACAGCTTCCTTACTGCAGGTGGTGACGTCACACTCCTTGAAAGGAAATGCTGAGTAGCCAAAGAGGATGCTTAAACAATGCAGGAGCATGTTTATACAAGGTCTGGGCTACTCAGCAAAAGCATAATGTCACCCCCTCTAGGCACCTTGGGCAGAAGCTGGAAAGTAAGTATATTCAATACATTTTTCCCTACTTTTTTATAATCATTTTGGCATGGGGGAGGGGGAAAACGTAAAAAGTCAAAGCAAGGTTGTTTATTTAGTGCAAGGTCCGCTTAAAAAAAGAACGGCAACAAAGAATCTGAAGAAGGACAAAGTGCACAACACCTAGTATAATAATGAAAGAACTAAGTGCAATAAATATTATAAAAGACAATTACACTTAGGAAGCATAAGCTTATGACATTCACAGACTAACACTAATAAATGGCCGTAAACTGTGGCAAATAGGCGTTATTGTGAATATGCTGCTTTTAGCTGGTTCCAATATGCAATAGAAAGGCCCATTAGCCATTTTTTCTGCCATTAACAATGGCCTGCAAAGAGTTGTATTGAGCAAGTTTGTATTCAGTAAATACATGCTGAAAAGAATAAAAGATAACACCACTATCTCCATTTGTTCTCCCTGTTGAAGGTGTTAGCTGAAAAACAGGTGAGTTCTAAGTACACTGTAATAGAAAATGTGTTACAGAAAGAATAAGGGTTAAATCTGAGATGTGCGTGTGTGTATATTCTACTTACTTGAGATCTTCACCCTCCAGTAGCTTCTTGTAGGTGGAGATTTCAACATCTAAAGCTTGTTTTATGTCCAGCAGTTCCTGATAATTCACAATGATTTTGTGAAGCTCTACCTTAGCTGATTCAATTGCGGCTTCATAGCTGGTGACCTGTGATTGATATTCAGCCACTCCCACACTAGATCTGGCAACAACTTCTGCCAGGTTGCTTTCCATTGTATAATTCTGGCAAAGTGGACAACATATTTTTCAATAATAAAAAAGGATCACTACAATTTATAATATATACACTAAAGTGTTATTATAAGCAAAGTTAAAGTGACACTAAACTCAGGAGTTAAATCTTAAATGCATTCAAGTACCCTAACTATTACCATAAATGTAGCTTATTTGTGTATCATGCTGACACTGTCCTTCCTTCTGGAGCGTGGCTACTTTTGTTCCCCATGGTCCCTATATGTGTTGTAAAGTAGCCACCGCTCCAAGCTCACTCCCGTGATTGACTGCAATCTCTCATTTAGATTACTCATTTGTATTGAGATTGTGGTCCATCATGGGAACGAGCTTGGTGTGGTGGCTACTTTTCAACACACAAAGGAACCATGGGGAACAAAAGTAGCCACCCTCCAGAAGGAAGGACAGTGTCAGCATGCATTTAGAGATGATTTGAGGATCTACAGGCAAGTAATACACAAATAAGCTACATTAATAGGGTACTTAAATACATTTTTAAGAATTAACTCCTGAGCTGTGTCACTTTAAGTAACATTCAGAAACACTTTGCTGCAGAGCCAAATCATTAAAGTTCGTCATGTAGAAGGATGAAAAAACCGGGGCGACAAGTTTATTACATATGTTTTGCACTGTAAAAATTCCTCTTGAATAAGTGGTAAGTCAAGAAAACACAAACACGGCATAGTTTCTGCTGCAGAAAACAATTAAACAACATTTTATCGCTGCCCATGCCTCACTGTCCCTGTGACAACTGCACATACTTTTCTGTCTGTGTCCAAATGCAGACACCAGGACCCGCACGGATGTGCTGTTCAGGTGTGCGTATGCCAGTGTACGGCCGCGTCCTCCCATAGGGAAGAACAGGCTGATGCGCGCAATCACACGCAGCACCTGTCCCTCCCGGGATTGGCCATTGATGGGCGTGCACGCCACACGGATGTGTATGCCCCGTGTGAGCCCCTGTGTGAATGAGGCCTAATACACAAACATAAAATAGCCACCTTTGTACGGGGTCTGATTTCTACAGATACATACCACTGTGAGAACAGACTGGAGTTCAGTGTTTAATGTTTGGAGTTCTTTCTTTGTGCTGGAAATTTCTGCTTTAATTGTGGCAACGACTTCTGTTGTTTTAGCTGTTTCACTGTTTATTTCTTCAATCTTTAAAATGAAAGAAAATACAACACCTAAATAATATTCTTTTTATTTAGCTTATTTTTATAAATCTGAAATATATTTTTTATTAATATTAATATTATAATTATAATTATTATCGTTACCAACAGTGATACAATTAGGAAGTGAACAGTCGACTGTAAAAAGAATTACCTTAGCTCTGAAATAGGTTTCTGCATCTTCTTTGTGTTGTTGGACAGACTTTTCATATTCAGCTCTGAGTCTGTTCAGGGCAGTAGTGATGTCAAATGATTTAATTGCATCCACTTCGATCAGTGAAACAGAAGTATCTGCTGTGGTTCCCAATTTACTCTGTAGTGTACTTAGTTCCTGTGGAGAGAATACAGGTTAATTAATCTTCTCTAGTTACAATATTTTATATAGTTAGTGTGATGTGGCTTCTTATAAACAACTTATAATTTGTGTGATATATCATACGTGTGCAACTATGGTCTCATGCAAATTCTTTTGGCAAATTGTATAACAACCTCATTTTGTATTTAGTTTTGCTGAGGAGAACACAAATGTACCAACATCACAAATAAAAGCGATCCAGGGGATCGGAAAAATTTATCTCACAGAAGTAAAGTTTTGGTATTTTTCTTACAAAAACTGTGATGCAAATGAATTACCACTATTATCAGACATCAGTCAAATACCACAGATGGTTTACTGAGCACAACAGGTTCACCTATTCCTATGCACACACACAGTAATGCACTGTCATGCAAGTGTGACTTGCTGGCAGTATAGAATAAACACTGCTCACCGCTTCACATAGCATAGTCTCACCTTTAGTCAGTTAAGGCCAGTATCTTCTCTTTGAAATCAGTGCCTTTATATTTTGGAGTACAATATATAAGAATTTCTGCATACATTTGATAAAGTTATACACTCTTTAATGACAATAACAATAACAATTCTCTATATTTATTATTATATTATGGTATTTTTTTTTTTTCATACCCTGCATAATTATTTAATGCTCAAGGTGTTCCCAGTAAGGGACATTAAAGAGCCAAATCAGTTATCTAAGTTCTATTGCATCAATAAACAAAAGCATTCTCTTTGTTCAAGGACAAACATTTCCAAACTAGTGTATAAAACACGGCCAGTTTCCAGGATCTACTAAACATGGCTTTACAGCTGCATCATAGTGATAAATTGATTGGCCAAAGTTTTATTCGTCTAAAGTTTGCCATATCCATCAAATATTTTATGCGTGTTGTGAATAATACACGAGACAAACTATTGTCACCCATATAGCAAGAGAAGCCGGGTACAGCTGTGGGAGACCTTTGTCAATACAAAACCATGGCAAGAAAAAAAAAATACAGTAAGCTAAGGGGCCTGTATATACAAAATCTTTTATGGGCCAGCACGGTTCACTGTGGACAGCCTCAGCGACAACACATTTTGGCAGTGCATATTTAGCTACAGAATTAGTTTTTAATATTTTTTTTAATTATTTATCTTTGCTGACAGACAGCTGCAGCACCCCAACCTACTATCATGTGATTAATTCCATTAAAAAAAAGTTAATTTAAAAAAAGTTCAGGAAGTTTTAGCAATGACACATGCATTTTCATCAAGCAGTTTTAGCCCCAATAGGCCTAAATGCAAAGCTGGAAGCCAGTCACACACAACCTTGCCTGGCTGCAGACGGCAAGAGGTCAGCCACCTATCAGTCTGGGCCTGGAGAGGCACCAGCCACTATGGCAGTGTTTCACTAGAAAGATGGTATAGGCCTTGAGGCACTTAGTAGAGCCTGGGGGTCATAACATAGAGGAGGTGTCCCTGGAGAAGGACTCATAGATTTCCTGACAACAAGGAGGAAGGAGTAAATTGACAGAGCTGGCACTAAAAAGAGGATAAGCCACAAACTCCACTGGCATTCCCTTTGCTGCATCTTTATCAGACACCAAAAGGTTCACCCAGTATACCATCCCTGTCCGTATGTGCTTAAAGGAGAATTATGAGGCGAGTGATTTTCACTCAGCCTCATAATCTGAGCCGACCTGTGACAATGAAACTGTCATAGGTCGGCTCAGTAGATCGGGAAGTGAGCGAACACATTCCATCGCTCGCTCACTTCTCAATCTATCCCTGCCGAGAGCCGTTACTGTCACTCACGGCTCCCTGCAGGGATCCCCCCCTCCCCTGTCCGATCCTCCAGCGCTGACTGGCGAAACGGCGGGCACAGCTGGCTCTGCCTCTGGATAGGCAGAGCCAGCTATCAATCCCTCAGCTGGGTGGATCCAGACAGTATTGTCAGGATCCGCCCGGCTGCGGCGTCTCGGTATACCGCTGTAGCTCGCGGTATACTGAGCTTAGGGTGATGGGAGAACGCTAGTTTGTGTTCTCCCGTGACCCCTAGGAGAACTATGGGGAAAAGACCTGACCCCATAGTTCTCTTTTAGCCATTTGTCAGTGGTCATTTGTACCCTGCCACTGACAGTTTGGTCCAGAGGCAGTTATTATCAAAGGAAAGCCTCTTGGACAAAAAGCAATGGACGGGTCAGCTGAACAAAAATGTGACTAATGCTTTCAAATCAAAAACAAGCTAAAATGATAGAAAAAAGATAGATTGCGTCCAGGGGCAATCATCTATCCCAAATCACAGGTAATCGTTCCATGTATGACTACATGTGGATAACTACAGGAATCCTCAGCTGCTGCTTCCATGTGCATGAGGTCTAAGGCAGTGAAGGGGGAGATTTTCAAACAGTTAGCAATCAGACTTGTAAAGATCTGTGAACACGGGGGGAAGGGGTCGCAAAAGAGAATTGGGTCACAATTTGGTAACTGGCCCACCTAAGTAATCTCTCCTTAATCAGTCAGTTGGATCTCCATCCTCTTACTACAGCAGCTCCAAAACACTTACACTATGGCCCACCCTTTTATAGTGAGGGTCTCCCTCCATCCATTATTGGTTGCTGTGAAGCTGCTGACAGAATCCAAAGCTGCACAGAGCATTAAGAATGAGCACCAAAATTCGACAACTGCAAATTCAGCCAAAGTTCACCATTTGGAAGAGAATGGGAATCACAGAAATTTGCATACATTCATGTTTGGGACAATTTCAATCTCTTCACTACTGCTGCATTGCAACTCAGCCATACATGTTTTTAGAAGGGAGTGAAGAATTACGAACACTGCTAATTACAGTCATCAGACAGGAAAGAGATATACGCTTGGTATATATATTAAAACAAACATGTTTTTTTTCTGTGTGTGTGCACGTGTGTCCATGCATGCAGCATCATCTTTTCTCTTACTTCTTCATGAGTCTTCTTCAGGAATTCAAGGTCATCAAGGGCAGCAGAGAATCTTTGTTCAAGAATTGTCCGCAGTTCAGTGGCAGACTCAATGTCCTATACATTTTAAAGCAATGAGTTATATTAATGGATTCAATAGCATTAGGTCTAGCAAGCCTAAGAAAAAACACTAAGTCATTCCGAAAACAGATGGCACTGGGACTAACAGATTTCAACAGTTTTGTTGGGTTTTCAATACTCTTGTAATAAAGTATAAAGTTGTTTATACATTACCAATAATAATAATACACATGTTTTAATTAATGCAATATTAGCCTCAAATATTTTTACTATGATTTTTATACTTTTACATGCTTGCATACGATTGCTCTTTTATTAAATGTAAATGTAGATTAGCTACTGGAATGAGATCTGTATTTCACTCCAGCCACTTGGCCTCTCTGCTAAACAACTGTTGAGAAAACATAGCCATACAGGGTGTGCCTTGTTTTCAATGGGTTTGCAGACAGATATGTTTATGAGAAGAAGCAGTAAACTACAACTAATATGTACCACTGTAAATCAGTAAGCAGGGCCTGCATATGAAATGTGTAAATAAAGCTGTCTCCATGTATGTATATAATTCCAAACTATGCATATAAACAATGTGAAAATATTAACACCTATTGATGCTGAATCTGATTTGTAATAGAGCAAGCAGGGTCAGAATAGCTGAGGAAGGTATACATCATAGGCTTCAGAAAAGCAGACTCACCCACTGTAGATGTGAGGAGCTCTGAGAAATCTTGCTGCAATATGTTATGTAGATCTCAGATTAAGGTAAATTGAGTAGAATTTCTGTGTTTGGTGCATTTGCAGTGTTTGCCAGACATCAAGAGCACTGATTGATTTCACTTGTTCCATGAAATTACTTTTTAAGACTTATAATTGTAAATATATGGCATGCTTGTTACCAAGACTATAACTAAATGGTGACCTTGCAAAGTATTGCTTTTAGGAACATTCTCTCTTGAAGCTCTCATCAGATTGACACACCAATTTGTTATCGCTGACTAAACAAAACATTATTATGCTATGCACTTTGGAGTGTTTCAGAGAAACCTTACAGTATTATGATATTAAATGTAAAAGTTACCCGTTTCATTGCTGCAATGTCAGTTTCCAGCTGATATTTTACCCCTAATTCTAATTCATATCTGAAAGAAATAAAAACAAGGTAAGTCATAAGAAAATGGTATTTATAAGCAAATGCAGCATAGCTATTGCTAGAGGTGCACTTATAGGGCCTCCCTTTCCCAAAGTATTTTTGTAATGTATAATGCAGCTCCCTGCAGATCTTCTCAGCATGCAGAGCACAGTATACAGCATGCAGAGTGGTACTTTGTATGTTATTTATTTGCTTTATTAATGTCTGCAATGTCACATTAGCTTCACAAGAAGTCACAGCAACAAAAACAATACAATATTAATCCAAATATATAGGGTAAATATGATCCAAGTGATTAGTACTCTATTAATAATTAATATAAACACTTACTTTGTCTTGAGCTCTTCTGCTGCTCCTCTTACATTATCAAGTTCAATTTCATGTCGAACATTTTCTAAAGTGAGTGTTTCAACTGTATTTCTTAAATCTGTAAGCTGTAGCTCAAAATTTACTGGGGCAGAAGAATCTGAAGATGAGACGGATGTGCCACCAGTCAGTAGGTTCAGTTGTGTCTGCAGTGTTTGGTTTTCAATTTGTAGCTGTTTTACCTTCTCCATATAAGAAAAAAAACGCTCATTCAGGCCAGCCAAGGTTTGTTTTTCTGTAGCCCTAGACAATAACTGGGGCACAACGCGAGGTCCTCCTACATTCAAAGTTGAACTAAGTCCACCAGAGGTGAGAGAGCGCCCCAAAGAAAATGCTGCACTGCCTCCTAGTCCTCCACCCAAACCTCCCCCAAAACCTCCATATCCTGCTCCTAAGCCTGCACCACCACCTAAGCCAAAGGCACCTGCACCACCACCTAAGCCAAAAGCACCTCCTCCTCCTCCTCCTAAGCCAAGGGCACCTGCTCCACCTAGTCCTCCTCCCAGACTTCCACCACCCAAACCGAATCCCCCTGCACTGAAGCGGGATAGACCTGCGGAAAACACACCCCCAGATGCTGCTCCTTGGGAAAGAGAATACCCAGATTTCTGGGAAGAAGCCCCCCAATTAACAGAGTTTGAACCCGAGATGGACATAATGGCAGGAAAAGGGACAGAGATTAAATATAGGACTTGCCAACTTGAACAGATTCTATGCTCTTTCTGTGCAGGTTAAAACCTTTAACAAACACGTACTTGGTTTTTATATGTTTTCATGTCACATGATACACTTTTTTGCCTTAGGACAGCGTCCTATTTTTTTGCTGGAAAAGCAATTTTTAGCGTCTGCCTTGCAGCTGAGCTGACTGAACTGTTATAATCACAAAAGCTTTCTATCCATCAAATAAGAGTGCATAGATCATCATCAGTAGCCACAGGGAGATTCCTGTCATTGCACAAAACATTTGTATTGAAATTCATGTACAATACTGAAGAATTATGTTCACTAGGCAAATGTAGTTTGTGTTTCCAAACCTATAGGTGAATAAAATCTAAGCAGAATTTTGGATCTTGCCTTCTATATTTGATAAAAATGTCTGCTTGTCTTTACAAGTTAGGTAGGATAACTTTTTATTACTCTCCAAAGTACAGCTGCAGCTCAATGACCCTGATTTACAGTAGTATAAACAAACATATTGGTGTTGCGCATGCATATAATAATAAAGTATATGGCAATATGAAAATACAGAGAAATCTATTGTTGATCAAATTTGTTCGAAAAAACTGCATTCATGAGAAAGGATTTACCAAAAATATGCACTTTTAAATCACAACATGTGTGTTAATGTAAAAGGCAGCAGGGCAATAAAAAGTTGTTTTTTACTTCATACATTGTCCCACCATCTCTCTGATATTTAAAGCTGAATTTCAGACAGATATATAATAAACAAATAAATGCAGCTCTTAATTAAAGGGTGCCCATTAGTCAAAAACTGAAAATAAATATATATTTCACTCCTAATAACAATATTGATCTAGAAGTTTATAGACTTACATGTTTAAAATACCTATAGGATGTACTTCCTAAATACAATTTCACGCAGACTTGTGAATATAGACTGCCATTGTCATAACTCTCAAAGAGCTTGCCTTTAACACAGCATCTGAACAATGTAACATTATCATTGCATGCTGGAAGAAATGCATTATGGGCTATGTAGTCTTGACTTGAGAGATTGAGATTGCATCACATCAAACAGCAGGGAAAGAGATGCAAAGCACACTGGGAAAAGTGATTGTCAGACAGAGGACAGCACTTACTACATAAAAGGGATGTTTTCAAGTTAGCTTTGGCTGCATTATCAAAATTAATTATAGTATGTATTCCTTTTACAATGCTGATGTTATAACAGGATACTATATGTTGGGACTTGGCAGTTTAGAATTAAATAATACATTATATTACCTTATAATACATTATTAAAGCATATCTAAAGCCAAAAACAAACATTTATTATACTGCAGCTTACCAGTCCTTAGATGTGGTGGCTGCCTTAGTTTTCAGTTTTTTGGCGACAAACATTTTCAACACTACAGAAAATACCTGTTGATCTGGCCAAAATTGCAGTGTCGTTGCCACTTCCTGTGTGCTGCAAAGAAAGCACAAATTTTCGTATCTACAGTATGTGGTATAAACTAGTAGTCCCATCAATCCACCATGCAGTGGAGATGATCAAAGGCAGAAATGTTTGAAATCCAGCCTGTGTGACAACCATGGCTCCTTCCATAGATACAGTGGAGAAATGACTGTAGCTAATGTATGTTTGTTAATGAAAGCAGTGAAGCACCTGAATTTGACTTTGTATCAGCCTCTTGCAATTCCCTGGTCAGCATAGCAAAGACTGGAAAGGCCTGTGTGACAATCATGGCTCCTTCCATTGATACAGTGGAAACATTAATGTAGCTATTAAAAGACAGGAAATTTGTAATTTGTGTAATATGTAATTTGCAGGATTATCAGGTGAAAACAAAAGGACAAGGCCTAGAAAAAAAAACTGATTAAAGGATATTTAAACCCTCCCGTTTTTTTGCATATATCTACTGCTAGCAAGCAGTAGACGTATGCAAAAAGTAAAAAAAAAAAAACCCACTCAAACAGCAGTTTGAGAAATGTCTTGAGTGGCCGCAAAGGATATTGGGGCGCGCGCATGCGCAGTTCTCATTTTCGGCAGGGGCGCGACGAGGGACGCAAGGTAAGTCTATGGACACGTGCACCCGCATGCAGACACCGCTGAATCGGAGGGACAGAGCAGTCAGCGCTGGATCGGAGAGCTGCCGCACCGCTGGAGAGAAGGCTGAAAACATCAGGAAAGAAGAGGAAGATCGGAAAAAGAGACATCATTTAAGGTAATTGCTAACATTAACATTGGGGGGAGGGGAAAATGTTTTTGCATTTAATGTCACTTTAAGCCATCACATCTAAGCACTGGTAAACTGCAATATATAAAATTTGTGAGTTAAGATACTTGTTAAACTTATTTTTTAATGAGAGCACTGTGAGTACCTGCATTTGACTTGGTATCAGCCACTTGCAATCCCCTATGCAGCAGAGCTAAAACTGTGAATGGGAAAAGCAGCACAATGAAAC